ATAACCAGTGCAAGAAAGACAGCTTGAATCGTCAAGAATGGGGTGATACTTTTACTCCCCTCACCCCTGCATGTCAAGAAGAGGCACGGCAATTGGCCACCCTACGAAAATACACAGCTACATTAAAATACGAAAAGGTTTGAAGATATTAATATTGAAATATTGATGTATTTCAAGGTGAAAACCCCCAACAACATTGTGTGTTTATGCTTGAATAGTCAGATCTAACTAACTAATTGGTTTCAGCTCCCTCAAAAGCTTGTTTCACTCTCTCATAGAGTTGCTGGTATTCTAGAATTATTGCACCCCTTGAACAAAGAAGATGCTCGTGAGGAATTGACAGCAAGTGTTGAGTTTCCAGTAAAAGAACCAGTGGTGAATATCACTCTCAATTCTAGAGATTTGTCATGGGACTACTCATCACTTGGCTTTGCTCCTTTGCTTTACAATGCTCGATTTCCGAGACCAAACACAAATCTAGGACTTGTCAGTAAGTTTTTCTTTTTCTGCACAATAGTTTCTTCATATTATCTAATCTCAAATTTAGAACAAATGTCTCAGGACTCAAAATGTCTATGTTTCAGGCTCTTGTATAGTCACTACAGCAAGAGTTATATCCTGGGACAATGCAACAATTTCTCACCCACTTTCATCATGCTATACATTAGCAGCAGCAGATTGTACAAGAAATCCAAAGTTTGCATTCCTCATTAAGAAAGTTAATGGACCAAAACCTCTGGTAAAGTACATCCTAGAAATATCAGAACAATATTAGAAATCAGAACTTTGGCAATTTTTGTGTCAGAGCAAGAAAAGTCGTTTTCAAGAGTATTTTTCTTACTAGGATGTTGGACTTCTAAACCAAGCCCAAAACTAGTGGTATTACTTATTGGAAAAGTCAACAAACATTTAAACCCTTTTTTTTTATTGCAGGCAGTCAAATTGTATACTGGAGGAAACTTTGTGGAACTCATCCCTGATGAAAGTGGGAAAGTTAATATTAATATCAATGGTAATAGTGTTCATAATCAGAATGCCATGCATGGCTTTTCCTACCCAATGCAGGACACATACTATGAATTCAAGTAGGTTTATAATAATAGCTTTACTGAAAATAAGCTGAATTGAAGTTTTTTTTTTAAAGAGCTTATACCTCTGTTTCTATTTTCAGAGTTTGGGAGAAACCTGGTGGTTTATATGAAGTAGAATCAAAATTGTCATTTGGATGGCTCCAGTACTATGGCCACTCAGCCTTGTTTATGCTTGGCCCTGGACTCTACTCAGGAAACACATGTGGACTTTGTGGAGATCTCAACAGTAATGCTGCTAATGACTTTAATGAACCATTATATACGCAGCAGTGCATTGCAAATTAATATGAACTTGGATAATTTTAAGCTTTCAAGAAGCTACAGGCATCAAGAACAAAAAATAATTTTTAGGAAGAAAATTGCAACAAGTCACTTTGTTAAACAGCTAGCAAATACATTTTAAGAGAAAAACAATTTTATGGGATAATCATTCTTTTTTTATTCATGTTCTAAAGAAAAACTGCATTTTCCGACCATCAAACTTCAAATATATGTTTGAGAAGTTTCTTATTACAGCCAATAAACAGCTCTATAGTCAATAATTTATAGTCAATGAAATACATAACATAGGTTAGACATAATGGTTGTTTTGATTCTACAAAGTGAGTACTAAAACCATTTTCAAGAGCAAGAAGTACAAAATATGATTAGATATACCACCACAAGTAGAAATAAGAAAGATGTAGACCTGCAAACTACTACGTACACATCCCTAGGAAAAGGGTTCTGTCACATCATCATTGTTATGTCTTTAACAACCTCCTAAAAATTGTCTGACCAAAGCGTAAGTACTAACAATAATTAGTTAAAATAAGCAGGCTACAATACTTCCCCAGAACCAAACACTAAGTGCAAAGGATATAAATGTTAGTAACCACTAACCAGTTGTGCTACAATTAAGTTTGTTATTAGAACTCTGTTATAACTCTGCCACCTTTCTTCCCACAGCCCCTCTCCCTAGATCATT